GCACCTAAGAAAAGACACTTCTCCTGGCCCAGATATGGTTCGTTCTGCTATACTGAGGGAAGCAGCCTCAATCCTGGCAACAGCGCTTAGCGTGATGTTCTCATACTTACTAAGCCGAGGCAAACTACCGGGAACTTGGAGGCTGGCTCACATCTCACCGATTTTCAAAGGAGATCGGCGCAGCGAACCTTCAAGTTACTGACCGGTGGCTCTCCTCTTTATATTCCAAAAGTCATGGAGCCCCTGATATGCGATGGTTTACATGACTATTTACTGTCCTTGAATTTCTTCTCACCCCAACAGCATGGTGTCATGGAGAGTTACTCTTGTATAACCAACCTGCTGACTGCGGTGGTCAGATGGACAACCACCCTTGATCGCAGGGGGAAGGTTGATATCGTTCACCTTGATTTCTCAAAAGCTTTTGATAGGGTTAACCATATATGTCTTATCAACAAGCTCAAACGATTATGTATCAGACCACCTTCTTCTTCAGAAATTTGCTCTGAGGGCACAGCTATGAAACTTCTGACGTTATGAACAAACTTGACGTACGCGTCCCCTCAAGGTCACGGTTTACAGCAAGCGCCCTACGAGTATGCTTTATAACAACTATAAACTTAATAAGTTGAGAAGCATTTTGTGAACCAACAAGTGTTGTAATTTATAGATCATGCCTGTGAAAATGGCGCGTACCTGCAGAAATATATATATTAATATTATTATTAACTGATTGTCTCATTCCATATCTGAAAAATCGACTTTTAAGGTCAGGGTTAACTTCACTTTATCTCAGGCTATGAAGTGTCCTAGTGGGTTCCCCCAGGGCTCAGTACTAGGACCTCTCTTCTTAGTTTGTATAAATGATCTTCCTCAACAGGTATCTTCAGACATTACTTCATGCCGATTATGTGAAACTTTGGAGAGAGATACGCAACCAGGAGGAGAATGGACTTACCTTTAACACTTCAGAGTGTAAAGTAGTCCATCTGCAACATGCCGCAGACTACAGTTACAACATAAGAAACTCCTCTCTAGTAGTATCCTCAGTCGAAAAAGATTCAGGAGTCCTAGTGCCCTACGATTTGAAGTCTTACGCTGACTGTGACAAAATGCCTCTCGAGCGAACCTTGCGCTGGTAACATCGAAGCGCACTGTTGGCCAGTTTGACGGAAGAACTTTCCACATAATCTTCAACAGTTCTATTCGTCCCTATTTAGAGTACGGAGACATAGCATTCCCTCCCTCACTCCAAAAGGATAAGGACACTCTGGAGCGTCTCTGGAGTGCCTCTTTTATCCCCTTTCAGTTGCTCTACATAATAGTTCCTTCTTCATTGAGTAGATCATGAAAAGCCTGAAACTTATTGCTGAGGACTATCTTGAATTTGTTGAGTTTGTCAGTATCCAGAAAAAAAGTTGTATTGAACTTTTGAGATATTGTCTGCATCGTTGTCCAGTAATTCTTGAGTTTCAATTTCATCTTGGCGACCAGCAAGTGATGATGTGATGCTATATCAGCTCCTTTCTTGGTTCTCACGTCCTCCACTGTCCTCCTGGACTTTTTTGGTGCAGATATGGTCGATTTGGTTTTGCGTAGTGTGATCCAGTGAAGTCCATGTGGTTTTGTGAATGCGTTTATGTGGGAATATAGTACCGCCTATGACCAGTTTATTGAAGGCACATAGGTTTGCAAATCTCTCACCATTTTCGTTCCTTTCTCCCAGTCCATATCGTCCCATGATGTCTTCATATCCAGTGTTGTCCATTCCAACCTTGGCATTTAAATCTCCCATCAGGATGGTCAGGTCCTTTGTTGGGCACTTCTCGACGATTGGCTACAATTTATCGTAGAATTGATCTTTAGCGTCTTCATTGTAGTCGTTGGTAGGCGCATAGCATTGGATGACGTTCATTGAAATGCCCTATTTCTTTGTTATGAAGGAGGCTTTGATCATCCTTGTTCCATGAGATTCTCATCCTCCTTGTGTATGTGGGGCATTTTCTTATCATGGCTGGAGTATAACAGAAGCTCACCTGAAGCTAGTCGTTGTTGTCCGACTTGCATCCAACATGTTTCAGTGATCTCAAGCACCTCTAGGTTGTATCTTCTCATTTCTGAAGAAATTTGGAAGACTCTCCCGATCTCCCACATTGTACGAGCATTCCATGTACCTAAACAAATGGTTGCTCTGGTTGTCAGAAGGGAAATCAGCCTCGTGACTTTCGAAGGAACTCGGCTTTTATCATGAGGCGTCATAGCTCTTCTAAATAAAGATTTTCTGACTCCCGGGGCAGAGTTTAAAAGGTTTGAACAATTTTCTTCTGGTTAGCGTTGTTTTGGCGAGTTAGTTTTCGACGGGATAGGGTGGCTCACCCCATGCTCAACCCTCCTCCTTTACTGGGCTTAGGGCCTGCAGTAGACCGGGGAGGGACTTCAGGCGGAGTGTTAATACGGATTAGTTTCACAACTACCCTTACTACTATGCTAGGTAGACTGACAGACCGGTAGTTCGACGAGATGTTTCCTCAAAGACTTTATTATTCTTCAGCAGGTTTTACATCTCTCTAATAATCTATAGAGGATAATGTGATAACTTACATGTTGACCATAAGATAAGCAGTAGTATAACGGTTTTGAATGTGTATTTAAATTTATTCCATTCGTCTTTAATAAACCTGCTGACATTGACCGACCCATTCATCAGGATAGCACAGCTTCTGACGGGACGAATGTTAGCCCGCAATTTATTGGGACGGGATGGAGCAAATATATGGTGTATGTTGTGTTCAAAACCCAACGTACAATTGACGGATTAATACTGCCCAGTAGGGATAACTACTGAGTTTCGGTAACATCATCACTGTCATGTATGAAGACAAAATCACACTATCAGGGTCTATGCTCTCAGTCGTTTGTGACACATTGTTCAAGCGAGCACTCAATAACAGTAGGCGGTCGTAGAAAAATCTGAGGAATTATGATCTAAGTTCGTCATTAGTACTGCTATAATAAGTTCTAATCCTAAAACTAGATTTGTCATGATGTGACTACTTAATCTATAAGATCTTACGTGGAAGTCACATCAATGTCTACACTGACTTATAGTGACAATTAGCAATGTGATGGTCAGTACGTCTGAATAGCACATCTAAACTGAAGAAAGGATAATAGATTAAGAGTGAATGAAGACAAGTTGAACAGAATGACCAAGTCTTCAAGGCTGAGCCATGCCATCCAATTGATCTGAATTAATATTCCCGCGTTCACTATTACTGATATTCACTTCGTGGTAATTGTTGAATATAAAAGTTTTCAATAATTATATGCTCGACCAACCACGCCGACGACTTAAAATGACCATATTAACTAGTATAATGTAGATATCAAGTAAATGTTTAGAAACGCTAGGCACAGAATGTGAGGGAACAAATGATTTGCTAAGGTAACTATTAAAATATGTCAAGAGGTAAGCTTCAACTAATGTCAATTTAAGAAACAAAATGCCAAAATGTCCAGGAAACCTAACAGCAAGAAAAAAAGAGAAGATAATATGCTTGTGGCTATTGAAGATTCCAAAGGTATTTATATTTTTGACAACACTTTAACCAGTAACCCCTAATATGAATCGTACCCACCAAGTGAAACCAAAAGACAGAAGCGAGGAGGTTCGAAGATGTATTTGAAAAGTTATCAATATGTCGAGGATCGAGTGACTAGCGATTGCAGGAGACTTTGAGCACAGCGTTCCCAATCGTGATCTGGTGTGGATGCATGACCGAGCGCCTTCAGCTAGGTGACTTCATTAAAACTAATGTGGTCAGCATCAAATGTCGAAAACTTACAGAGCTATTTGTCTGGGGGATTTATTTACCACTACACTGTAGATAAATCCGAAAAACATATTGTGTTTGTAAGTCTTCGACGGTGTTGCTGATCTATGATATTTAGAATTGCTTGAATTATTATACGAATCAAGAATCTCCGGAAAAGTTCAAGCGTCGAAGTCACACCTCGTGGTCAGCACCTTACGTGGACTACTACATCATCGACGTATCAACGTATTATAGATGCTTTGAAGACTGTACAACACAGAGGATGTTATTATAGAAATATATTAGTTAAAGTAGATACAAGCGAAATGAAGACCACTGCCGATGGGCCAGTACATGGCGAACGGTTAACTGATGTACGTTGGTCGTCCTTGACCTTGGTGAAGATCGATGATTTGTTCAATATTCAATGGCCCAGCCGCCAGATGATTTGGCTAGGGCTCAGTGAAATTTCACGGGCCTTACACCTTGATCCGCGACAGATCACCATCAGGTCAGCCATGAAGCCAACCATCTTAGATCAGACGATTTCCAACCTGGGACAACATTCCAAATATGACTTTCAGCTTCGTTATTTCCTACTTTTGACTTATTCGATACTTTTCGGTCATAAGGTTATTATGGATCAAGCTTCTTGATCCTAATCTCCCGATTTCGGGGAATTTTTCGGGGGGAAATGCGACAAAATTCACGAAATGTCCCCTGGTCAGCGATTTCCCCCCGTGATTTCGAGTTGTTTTGTATAGATCGCCAAAAGCCTAAGTGATATTTTGGATTTTCACCAGTGTTCAACAGACTTTATTGAAATCTATGAATTTTCACATGACTATGGAGAAAAGCCAAAATTCGGAGATTGGGAAATTCCGGATGTTTGCAACATCTTTATGTTTGCCCGCAAAACATTTTTAACTGATGCTAACTGAGGTGGAAGATGTGCAAGAAGGAATATTACACATACCTCAAATATCGCTGAGCAGTAAGTATGAGTTATATGCAATTTCCGATACGACAGACACAACTGAAATGAAATTTATAAAGACGCAAAATATTCGTTTCATTTTTTAAAGTTGTTCACAGACAATCATCTTCGTCACCAACCCAGAAACTGTGCTAAAAAGAACGGATTTAATTTTTCTGCTACTCACTGAACAAAAGTTAAGGTTTCAACAAAATATCACCTTGAGTTATGTGCGTGCTTCAAAGTAAAATGTGCTTTGCGCGTTACAAGTGACCGCCTGGAGTTATGAACGCGTTGATGGATAATACTGTAAGAAAACATTTCAGATCTACCACTCTGGTTTTTCTCGACCGAGTCTTTAAGCACTTACAATCTATTTTAGAGTTACCGTAACGAAGCTAACAACTGCGGTATTGTAAGTGCCACTTCAACCTCTGAAGGTGCGTCTCACAAAATTTTGCATATTTGGTTTCACCAACCGGCTTCAATTATTCGGTTTTATGCTTGCGCAGCAAAGTTGAATCTTATATTTTACACTCTCTCTGGTGGCGTCTCCTGAGGGTTCTGACACCTGTTTTGATAACTAGGCCACTTTAGCGAAGCTATGTTATCAGAGTGTTAAGCGTTTCATTTTTTATCATGCATTTTCATTTTTTGTCGGCAAAATAGTTGTAGTGATTTACTCCTGACTTTTGTAAGTAATAGAAATTGGTTAGTCAATGATGGTCGTTGACACTCATGATTACAGCGTCCACTTGGGACGGATTTTAAAACAGGCTGATGCCATATATTTGTAACAGTAGTTTCCATTATCCATTGTCATGCGCAGAAAATGAGCCTGTAAACTCACTGAGTGTTTACTTCTCGAGCTTTTCAACCATATTTTAGATTACCATCTCTAAAAGATGAAAAAAAGAAATGACACTAATAACAGTAGATTTATATCATAAAATTACATCGGTTTACTTCAAAACTTTTAATAGAGATCGAAGTTTTCTTATACTGCCTATAAAAAAGATCAAATGTATGATTGAGTATTTGTTATAATCTTTTAAACACGTTGCAATACATGTTTCGTATGCAACCTATGGGTTTGCGTCTTTGTTTCCTTATTTCAACTAAAGTCGTTTGCGTTTTAGTTATGTGTTCTGAATCATTCTCATCTTTGCTCTTGACTTTCTTACAAAGCAACCACAAAAACCCAGAAACTAGTGACCCTTTTTGCTTCGTATTTGGGGTTTGAGGTCACTATGGACAGTGACTTTCAAACGACGGTAAGCAGTAAATAAATGTGTGCATGTTTACTGTCTCACCCGTTGTCTGTCTTGTTCTATTCGGCTCAAGCTTTTTGTCAAAGGGTCGTTCACGTAAATCAAACCTATCGAATGTCAGTATAACAAGATTTAGACTGGGACTGCCAAGAGCAGCTTTATAATTTCGTTTCTTAAAACAGATATATTATTGGCGACCCCAAATGTACCTCTTAAGTTGGAGGATTTGTCACGTTGTGTTTATTTGACTGTTCGTTTGACAGTACAGATCTGTAAACTTAACTTTAGCCTTCTGTAATGTATGAGAGCATGGGAAAGTTTTACTGGTACGAAGTTATTTAGTCTTTTTTACCTTATGACCTTGTTTCCTCCTAATAGATGATCAGCTGAGCTTATGCTGTCTGTGTGGTCAAACGTTTCCAAGTATCAAGTCCCTTCATATGCACATTAATGTTGTACACGAAGGTAAGCTTATTTAGTAGATTTCAAATTTGGTTTGCTATCAACAGTTTAAAATAATGCTACAGCAAATATCCTCTGTCATGGGGTTTGCCAAAACTATGTTTGACTTTCATGTATCGCTAATCAAATTACAATAAAGATCTTTTGTTCTAAGTATTCAACTAATAAGTACTCGTGTTCAAACTCTGCTCCAACTATATTAATTTATAAACCCAAGTGGCAGCTGATAGATTTTTTTATCCTAACATTTCGGCTTGATTACAGGGATAGTTCGTTCTATTCCTCGTTCTTATCCTCTTTATATTTGACCAATACATATTTTGCCCATTAGCTTCCGACTCATAAAAAGTCATTTTTCATTTTCACTGTATTTAAACTGATAAGTTTTGTACTTGAAATATAAAGCGAACTGTTGATTTTGTAGTATATATAATATGAATATGTATTTCACTTGACGTGTTCAACGTGTACCCATATGTTCTAGTTCAGCCATTTTTTAGTATCAAGTTTGACTAGGTATTTTTAAGTTTACCTTAAAACTGCTTTTGAAATCCAGAAATTGCATTCTTATTCCTATTTAAGGATCTACGATTTTTGTCTCTACTAAGCCCAGCGTTTCTGTCAACATTTTCATAGGTCTATATAAACCGTTTATCTAGCTTTGATTACATATACGTAGTTGTTTTAGATAAACATGTTGACGGAAATAATAATCCTAGATTTGTTAAGAGAACAATTAAGGATCTTCAGCATTAATTTTAAATCTGTCGCAAACTAGCTGGTACATCGAAGTAGTCTGTCTACACATAATTCACTCGAATTCAAAGTTGTGGGCTGCGTTATTGCAAGTATATTCTACCACCGTTGCTAATTTTAAAGCTGACTCGGTTGTAATTGGTAGTGACGTAAGACACGATAAAATCTTACATTTTATTAAATTTCACTAACTTTTGGAATGCTACAAACAGCAGCAATATTCGCCATTCATGTAACGTAGCCCACTGGCGAGACAAGATGGAGGAAGATTGTGGAATGTTTCCACAACATTGAAACAACTAACAGGCGTTTATGTTATTTAAGGGGTAGTTACGGATTTTGAGTCGACTTATGCGGGTGGAGAAACCTGGTTTTCAAATTGGTAGCTCACATTAGCCTCAGGTTCTTGTTATAATTTGTGACGTACGTACATATTGTGGCCACAGATTATTCTGATGATACATCTTTCGACGTTGCTCTATTGCTTTTCCGATCAGATAACTAGGTCTGAAACTACTTTATCCGACGTGCCAGAAGACCCAATATCTATAATCACGGGCTGACGACAGATACAATGTATTCGTCATTACTTTCTTTCCCCCAACGGGTCGTAGCGTATACGCTGTTCAGAATCAGTCTAATTATCAATTAATTCCCAACAAGGTTCATTTGGTAGATATCACAACACGAACTACCAACACGGATGCTCTAGTTGAGTGTTTAGGTCAAGAATTGAGCTTTTCAGCCAGCTAGTATGAAGTCGATGTTCTCAGGTTGGACAATACAGACTATTTTCTACTGTGACATGGAGTGTCGTTAGTTTTACTTAGTCCCGTACGCCTGATCTCACGTTTACTTGCTCGGTGGTTTCACCAAACGGAAATTGTTTCACTGACTAATACAAATTTGTACATCATTCTTTCTACCCAGATGTTGAGCCATTTTAGCAGTTATTTGAGAGTCAGTTTCTGTAATTACTCTAGATTGGCTTAGAATTTAGTAATTTATCTCAACAACATATCCACTTTCATAGCTGCTTCATCGTAAGTTGAGAGCAGAGAATGAGATCCCAGGTCTAGTTTGTATTATGAATGTCCGTTTACTCAGAAAAAGGATAGGGCGGCTAAACTAGTTATGGCAACAGTTAATGATGTCATTAAATATTGATCTAAGCCTTGCGAGCATGACAACTGCAATTAATGGCTGAATATGTTGGGTGTCACGGCTCAAGTTCTTTTACAGTGGCGTAAATGCATTCACTCCCTATCTTCTCTTCGTTCTTGAATCCCATTACTCTTTCAGATACACCTTTCCATTATCTTTTCAAACTATATCATCGATTGTCGATCTTTGCCATTATGTTCTATCTCCTTTACTATCGATCTTGTTATTTTCATCTCGTCATAGTTATATGGTTTAGCAACTTTGGCCAGCGTACATCTTATCAAACCTCTACTTTGATTATGGCTAACCACGTTTATTCGCCACTATTGAACATCATTTTATCTCCTAAAATCTCACTGTCTAATAGTTGACTACATTGAGGAAGGTCAAACTACTCATCATCAACTGTAACAAAACATTTGAGACCTTCATATTTATAATTTCGATTAGACTATAATATTATACCATTCAACGAAGGCTTCTATTAGTGGTGTAAACGGTCGTCTAAGCGTATTTGTTTAGGTCTACTGAGTAATAGCAGCTAGATACTTTGAAAGGAGTAGTTAAGGAACAAACACAAAATCACAGTTTCATTCACTTCCTATCTTATGATATTTAAAGCTGTTATTACTCGCCATTTATTTCCCAAGATTACTTTATATCCTTCTTCTCTATTTCATTATTTTTTAGACAAGGTACGTCAATTTAAATCGTATTATATTTTTGTGTAAGCCTCTGTGCCAGTATTTCTGCTTACCTTTGATGATCATTACAAATAATTTATGCTAAATTACAGTCTGAATCTAATGCTAATCTAACCCATTTACGAGGTAAATGTCTTATATACAAGACTTTACACCTCACTTTGTGGACGCCATTGGTATCACTCGGCTGCTAAAAAAAAGTATTTAGAATGAGTTTCGAACTTAAGATCTATTCGTTGAAAGCTTAGTGCCTTCACCACTATGCAGCTACTACTTTTGTTTATTGAATAATCTGAATAGTCTAATTTTCCCATCAATTTAGAATATAAATTTATGCCAGGTAGAACGAATAAAATGTAACGTTCCTTGGTCGGTATAAATCAAATAACCAACTTTATAGAAATACTAATTGTTTTCCCCTTTGATTCTTTTAGAAGTGGCAGACTCTTTTGATTTTCAGTTAACAGATGGTGAAAACGACGACTCTCATTCAGTAAGTTCAGACTATTGAGATGTTTTTGAATAGATTGTGAAAAATTTACTACTTTCGTCTACTTTTAAAAAAGAACTGTAGTTTTTACTATTTGTTATGTCTTTAATGTAATCTTTTTTTAAATTTCACTGGACCAATATAGTGATATGTTATTCGTGATGAAATAACCGGACTCATGCGTATTTTATTTATTTATTTGAGCACATAAATATTGGTACAAGAGGGCACCAAATATATATGCGCCACACTTTTGTGTGTGGGCTGTGATACTGCCCGAGTGCCCAGACCGAAACAGGTGGTTTTCTTAGGGGGCCATGCCCCGAGGCTTTGACCTAAGGGTCTGACCCACAAGGCAGTGGAGCATCGTGAGGAGATGCTTCCCATCATAGCCGGTGACCAACGATTGGTTCATACGCTTTTCGTCCTCTCATTTTCGTAAACAACACTCCCGCCACGAGAAAGCAATGTGTAGGACTTCCCTAGCAGAGGCTGTATACGTGTGGCCGTAAATGAACAGTAGTCATCTCTCAGACTGGACTGCTGGATCAATGAGAATTCAGTGTTAAATAGTTTAATAAACATTCAACTCCCCACTACCCACTCTCAACTTTAACAGGACATAGAAGTCAAACCCCCCAACTCTTAGCAAAGTGAGAGAAACTTTGATTAACTTTATTCAGGTGGGATTAATATATTGTGACGGGTTGATTTCTTAAGTTTGAGATCTAGATGTAATTCGGTGTCATTGGTTTCATATTTTTGTGCTGAGGCTGTAAAGACAAAAATTAGATCTAACGCGTCGTTTGTTTGCGTTTAATACTGAGTGAATTAGTATATAACTCAACTGCAGACACTAACAGAAGCTAAAACCTTGAAGGTCGAGCTCAACATGTACTATATTGAACGATCTATGGATATTTTGTCAAAAAGTTAATCAGACATTGAAATTTACCCAACAAATGCTGTTCATCGCTCTCACCAACTGCTGCATTTGATGTTTTATACAGCCTAATGTTTTTAAACCTCGTCTACCTGTACTTCGTCTAGTTGTAGATCGAAAGTTTAACCACTAACTTCGACAGTGTATTTTTTGGTTTCTACAGCAGTAATCGTCAATATTCCTATTAATTTGACTATCGGCTTATCATAAGAATGGTTGATTTTTCTGGACTGTTCGTGACACTATGGATTCTACCAATAAAATCAGGCTTTGTGTCCTATTTCTCTGCACTTACTGGGACAGTGGTTTTAGTAGAGGCATTGTTTAGTCAAATAATGTGCATCCTACCTCCAGTAGATAAATAGTAAAGCCTTCCTCAACACTTTAGTAGTATATTTAAGCAATGCGATGGATCCAAGAGACTTAAGATCAAGATTACATAAACTCCGAAATTGCCGTAATTTCTAGATTAGCTCAAAGTAATATGCTTGACGTAGTTTATCTATCGAAATTCTGCTGTGACATCAAAATTCGATCCATGGTCATTATCAAACTATTCACCAATATAGTGCTGATGGCGACAGATTTCGCAAATTGATAACATCAAATGAGATCAATAACTCGCCAAATGGCTTCCAAGGTTGCTAAATTCGATTAATCATATTGGTAGACAATCTGACTAAACTTCTCTTATTTTACCCATCTTACGCAACCATACTTCATGGTGTCATTAAGTATGAGGTCTGCCATAAAACTGCTCACCGTGGTGGAGTCAGAGATAAACTAAAAAAGTGTAGCTTGTTTTCATTAGATAACCTTATTGGAATGCTGAAAACGTCATATAAAATCCCTGTTTCAGGAATTTTACGGGACAAATAATATTCTTACATGATATTGTCTTGCTATACCAAATTACACTAAATGGTAACATCATTTTATTCAATATGCTACAATCTTATTCTTCGCTTTATTTATTTATTTTTAGGTCACCTTAGGATCGCGGATCTCACTGTCATCTAGTAGTGAGGAATTTATATCCAGTAAGTAATGTTTTTACTCCCTTGGCAAACAGTCATAAGTTGTTTGTCCTGCTTTTCTTTATCATTCTAAAATACTTAGAAGATATTAAAATGAAAATAATTTATTGTTACAGATAATCCTCATTCTTAAGTTTTGTTTATTGGTTATGAATTTATAAAAGTAATCTAACAAGGCTTCACTCCTATTCTTACGCTGTTATTATCCGCAACATTTAGAATCCTGTGGAGTTAACAGTCAATTCTAGTGGGTTAATTTTGCTGTAAACTTTGTTGAACTCTTCACTTCATTTCTTGAGTTCTTTTTTTGTGCTCAACTAACTTTATTGATTCAGTTCTTAAGATTGATTGGTGTTTACGAATATGTTGTGAATTCTTGGAAAAGTCACTGTAAAGTATAATAATCAGTTTGTATTTCGCGTTTGTTTACCATAACACTGTAAAACCATTAATACTAAATGGCATTTTAAAGTCTTTCGCAACTGCAATTTAATTAGTACCGAATCTCCCATTTAGCGGTGAAAGAATTTCGTTGTTTATATATTTTTTCAGGAGAATTCTTTATTGTCGTGGACTTATTTGTACCCTACTTCTTTGAATATTTATTAATATTACTCAAACATCAGATGTACAAGGTTATACACTTAGCATTGAAGTACACTTTGTGTATGGCTTATTGATTCTGCATGGGTTTCTAAACCACAATAGGTAGATGCATATATATATATATATATATATATATATATATATATATATATATATATATATATACCATTCTTTCACAAACAATATTCTTTACTGTTTAGAATTATTAGAGCACGAACTGGCAAACCTGTTAAGTCTTTAAATGGCTGAATACATATTTATGTATTGGTTTGTTCATAATCATTCTAATAATATCCTCTTTACTTTAACATTCAGAGCCTGAAACTCCAGTTGTTTGTCCGAATTGTAAAAAGCCGTTTCCTGGTCTCACAAGTTTGCGAGTTCATATAGATTCTGTACATCATGGTGAGAGTTTATACAATTAATTGACTTAACTGTTTATTTTGAACATAAATAACTAGTGTATAAGTTGAAGAAAGTTCAAAATATTTGATTATAGTTTTCATTACAGACTAGATAACCGTTCAAAAAAATGAAAACCTTCAAAGTAATATTCTATTATAATTTGATGCATTTCAACAATTCACTCAGTTTCCTCGAACTGCAGTTAAGGTTATGACTATCAGGTTTGAATTGTTAGTTTAACACTTTGGCTACTGATAAACTCTTAGTAAAGTATTACATATTCAAATTAAGAAGCACTTAGTTTATCTTGTAAATGATGTTAACTACTTATAATTACTATTACCGATTGGCTGCCGGAAAAAAATCTGGTTAACCAATAGTATACATATTAAGGGATTGAAAATATATATATACTAAATATTTAATCAAGATAGTATGACTTACCAAACAATAAATGATTAATCAATGCTAAAAATTAAGATTATCAAAAAACTAATATTTTTGTAATTATATTTGAAAGTAGCTAATAATAAGATCCCAAGTGTCAACATGATGTAAAGTAGAAAAAGAATAAGTTGAAAACTTGGTTCATTTCAAAAGACCAGAGCACTAAATTTTCATGAAAAACTAATTATCTTGGGTAAAAGTATATGAGCCTAAAAAGTAATTGTGACGAATTTCTAGCCAGTTCTTATTCAGTCAGAAAACAGCTTTTACAAATTGGTATTTTATGGAAAAGAAAACAGTAATATTGCAAAGTGTAATATTTACTTATAAATCTACTAATGCTTCGACAGATTCCTCTGTAAATCGAGGAAACAACAACGTATAAACTCGTCTTTATGGATAAAGATTGTCCATCTCAAACCCCTATAAGGACTCAAACAAATTTTTAATCGTCTTTATGTTGTTACTAGTTAGAGTTAGGTATTTAAGATTGAGATTTTCATCCTGAACTGATATCAGCTACAATGTAAAATGCTCTGCAGCACTAATAATGAACTAATTCCAAGCGAGAATAAAATTTACGGACGATCTTTGAGCGATGCTAAAGTGACCTTAGGAAAATTCTCCTACTCACTAAGATCAGAAGATGGATTAAGATTTAGAATTCGACGTGAGAGTTTTCATCACGAACTGACCTCATCTGTAATGCTGAAATACTATTTAGCCATATGAATGAAAGAATTCCGCGTAAAAATCCAAGACCTGCTATTTTAAATCTCATTGGTTCGTATATATGTTGTAGTCTCACTGAATTTCGTTCATAGGCACAAGAGGCGCTATGTAGTCAGTTCATCCACAAGATGCGATGTCACCAAGTTAAAGTTCGTTTTCATGATTAAGCTTTTAGGGGTAAGATTCAGGGATAGTGTCGACTTGTTATATACAAACTAGAGGGACAGAATTAGATATTTGATGAGTTTAATACTATCATTTTTACCACATAGTTGAAGAAAATAATTTTCCAATGTCATTTTGAACGTTCAGATCAGTATACAAACGTATTTTTGCTACTCTTAATAAATGACGTTTGAATTTCACACAAAAACGTAGAACGCATTCTCGATTCTGATTGGCTTGTCCCTAGAATATACTTTTGCCATATCTTCTTGATTCGTTTGTTAGCATCAAAATGTTAAAAACAAACTAATCACTGCACCCAAATTTAACCTTACGCTGAACATGTAACTGATCGGATTCTATCCTGCTATTTGTAATGCAAATACGTCACAAATACTAAAATCATATAGATCGTTTACCGACGAATGATTTTCTTTCTGTAGAGGTTAACTTATTTTGGTACTCATCCATTTAGTTTCTTATATAGTCTGTTTCAATTAAAAGTGACAAAATATTATCGAAGACCATCAACTGTTTGAAAAACTGAAAATGTTAAAATAATAATTGGGGATTTATTAAGAACAAACACAATTGTTTCCCACAAAATCATTAATAATTCCTTGAGGGGATTTTATAAAAGGCAACTATTTAAAGTACTTTACATTTTTCATCATTCAGAGTAGTGAGACTTAAAATGAACACTAAACTAGAACTTTTGTCAAATAACTCACAGTGAAAGCATTGTACATGTTTCTTTTCTGGGATTTTTTTAGATCACGAATCTGATTTTGTTATCAATATCTATCTTTATAGTCTATATTTAATCAATATTCTCAGAGATTACTTCTAACTTAATAGATTTATGTGAACATTTATTATCCACTAGGTAATCGAATACCTCAATGTGATTATTGCATGAAAAAGTTTTCCACATTATCCTACCTTCGAATGCATATTTCTACTGTTCATGAAGGTTAGTTATCATTTGAAATATTGCTAATTGTTTGGTTATCCAAAAGTAAATATAAGAGCATAATAACTTGTTCCGATAATCTACAATAAGATGCAGATCAAGTACGTTTGAAGCATAAAACCAAAGCTTTTGTACGTGTCCAACTTACAATTAGGATGTACAATCATAATCAAAGCGACGTTTACATAAAATTATAATTAATAATCGTAGGAACACTACAGTTAACCTTTTGAACTAAAACTCAAACTTTCTACTTAATAAAAGTGTCTTAAAGCGAGATGTGAGACAATTTTTTGCTCTCTCCACTCCTCTGTTTATTATTGTGTCATCGCTAAATGTTTTTCAGTAAGCAGTTTAAAAATTGTTGTTTGTAGTAAATATCGTTTATCTAATATTTCTTGTTCAACGTAATAGTTTTGTGATAATTACATACGCTTGTCTGTTTATACTCTTTGCCTATGTCAGTCACTCATCCACAACAAAGGACTAGACACTTATAGATATCAGTCCAAGTTACCATACCTCATAAGCACAACAAGATGAACACCGAATTCATAGAAGTAGTCGCTTCAATGTTAGTAATATGTAAAAGAAAGATTGCATATAAGGATATAGTACAGGAAAAAATAATTAGTTGGTAGAAAGAAGGATATAAAGTAATTTTAATCTCATTGTTTATAGGAAGACAAAGAGTGTATACATCCACACCATTGTGATCGATTCTGAGCCATGTCACCCAGAGTCTCCAACCATTAGTTAAGATAGTCACGCTGACCCTAACCAAATAATCTGCATCTGCCAACATGGTTAAGACCAGAAGTGAGTGACCTCATGGACTGATTTCACTTTTTGGTTTGGTCACCCTTCGATTTCTTCCAACCGTCTCCAACACTACTCAGCACTGCACGTCGTGGTAATCGGTGTTCAGGTATACGTCACACGTGGCCTAACCATCTCAGTCGATGAAGATTTACAACCTCATCCACTTGTGTACCATCATTTCCTAATACACTGCGTCAAACATCACTTACGGTATACTTGTCCCTTGATTGATAGACGGATATCCGGCCTTTGCCATATGTGACGTAAGTAGGTAAAAGCCAAACGAACGTTCTGAAACCGTGCAGAGCTTTCGTCATATACCAACCCATTAGTGCTGATCAGACTTCCAAGATGAGTAAAGTTATCGACGCGTTCGACTACTTCACTCCCTATCCTTAGTTCAGGTGTTGACGCAGGCCATTTCTGAAACAACAACTTGCATTTAAAGGGGGAGTTGTCTACTCGACATAATTCAGATAATTGACAGTTTTCATTGATTTGTACACCAAAATATATATAAATGAAATTCAATTTATTCCATCTATACTAATTGTTCTCTCACACCTCAATCTAGGTAATTAGTATCGTATGTTCAAAGTAAAGTGCGTGCAAAATCTTGCAAATAGATTAAAAATAAAAATAATCAGTTTTAATTACAACTGTTGATCAATATTCATAAATACGTGTTACATTAAGTATTATCGTATTATTTTATATCGTAAAATCCAAGGTCACTGTAAGATTGGTTGTTATTACCGCATGCTTATGCATAACTTCATTTGTGAAAGTGTATGTTATCCCTTAATCCAGATTAGAGCTGTGCACGTTTTGTATATTTCACACTCTAGTATTGTTAATAGTAGTTGCAGTAGTAGTAACCGTAGAAAGGTTCCCCTTTTGTTTATAAGATCCTCCTGGCTTTTACATAAAAAATCACTCATATATATTTGGCGTACTCTTGTACCAATATTTATGTGTTCAAATAATAAATAAAAATAAAAGAAAGAAGGAATGCGTCGTGGGGAAATTTTCCACTGTTGCGTTTTTCTTGCTTGTTCATGTCATTCCTGTTTATTTGCAAGCATGTCTTTGAGTGCGTAGGTACTTTTTTTCATGTAACTACCTATGTTTTGTGGTTTAGACACGTGATTGGTACTTAAATTCGCAAATTAATATCTTGTTTAATCAAATCATACACAAAAAATCTTAACTGAGATCTCTCATAATATACGAATCACAGGGCTACTGACATATTCACATACTTGCTAAAAGATGCGTAACTATACGGATTGACAGTTTTCTACTGCGCAACTGTGATAGATAACTATATTAATATTGAAGTTCGAAAAAAATACAATTATGGTAAAACACTTACTTATGAAGTCAATGTGAAACAGTTCGTTTTATGTAACTTTTATACTAAGTGTAAAATTCATTTCCATCATATGTATTAAACATTTCATAAACAATGCTTCATTCCATAGTAGAAACATCACAAAACTTCATTTTATTCCATAAACTACCCTCTTGTGATGTGAAGTGTAAATACGAACACCAACATTTTATAACGTCCAAAGTTTTTTCACCACTACAATCTACCTCAATGCTAAATAGAGATCTTATTATCCATCATATCTTTCGATCTCGTTGTTTCAACTTAGTGTTGATTCAATATCAAAGTGAACCGCGGTAGTGAGTCTGCAGTAACAATTAGAGGAAATCAAGTGATAATATTGGTATATCGAACATACTTCCTTCAATGTAATGAATCTATAAACTAAACTTGTTACCTTGACACTTGATTTTAATTGTCATAACTTGAAACCGTAACCAATACCGCTAGTTTTCAGGGTTTTTTCCCTGAAATGTTTCATAATCTTTCAGAGCATTTTCATTCATTTCGTAATCATTTAGTTTTGTGTTTATATTGTTTTAAAAATAGGTATTATCTTCCCCATTCTTCACATATTTTTTAAATCATTACTCAGGTGTCCGTGCATATTCTTGTAATATCTGTGAGAAGAGTTACACTCAAAAGCATTCTTTGAAAAAACATCTTAGAAATTCTCATTCAAGTATGTTTCTACGTCCACGTTATCTGTGTTGTTTATTGATAAAACCGTAAAGAAATCAATAGTTTCAATAAAATACAAGATCTTAAAGAATGAAGTGTATTCCAAGAGCTGTGGGTTAATGATACTGCCTTATATCCTAAACTAAATTAAGTGGAGTGGAGCTCAAAATTGGGGATTAGTAGCTGAGAGTCGAACGCCCCAACCATTAAGCGACCGCTTAGTGGTACACAGTCATTTTACAAGCACATTTTACTACATCGGAAAAAATAAATTTCCGTTCCTAGAAAATAACATTTGAAATCGTCAACCGGTCTAAGTTAGACAACCACTTTAAACTTGGGAGCACTGGACAGTCGTTTCGTCCTAGCATGGGACTTCTCTCCAGTGTACATCCACGACCCCGCAACTGGATATCAAACCCAAGACCTTCAGTTTCACGTGCAGAAGCTTAATCTCTAAACCACAAAGTAAATATTCAACTATTTTCATGTCTAACTCCAATTAATCCATTATATTGTGTCACCATTTTCCACTGTGCTTTGTGTGTACCTACCTCACACTCGACACGGTCGAACTCCGCTTGTCATAGCTTCTCACTAAGACTTCAGAAATTTCCTCCCCAAGCTGTTTACTAGTAAGCGCATGGTAAATGTCAGTACGGGGCTGTGGAGATTGTTGAATTTCACTATAATCATGAGTTCGTGGGTGCATAATGCTGAGAAGTCTCATACTAGGAATAAACAGCCGTCTAGTGCTTTCACGCTGTCAGTGGTTATGATTTAAATGAAATTTAACAATTTTTACAACCCTATCCTGATAACTACCTCTCTCCACGTAGCCCCAAATACGTAAGTATTTTATTAAATTATATCTATGCAAAAAGAGATTGATAAAGTTAGTACAGAGCTTAAATATAATAAATCTTGTTTTCATACAACCCATATTTCACGGATAATTTCGATTAACTAATGAACATCTCACATTTCGGTTGAAATTAAGAACAGACTCAATAATTATCACATATTTTACGTAGACTCTTTGAATTTGAATACGATAATCTCTGTATTCTTGGATGAAAAAACAGTTGACTAGTCAAGTATTATCAAACAATTTAGCATGTTCTTTGACCATATTTTAGCCTTCACCTCTATAAAAGGCTTGTTGCACGTCGTCTGGACACTATAATTTATGCTTCAGAAATCTTTTTAATTTATAATACCTATCAACGATGACCCATACATTTTGTTTTTTCTATTTAGTCTCATCCAGTCAAGACATACTAGATGATTCAGGACCAACTAATGGGGTACCGAATAAATCTAGTCAGTCTGCATGTTCAAATGAAATGCGTACTTTTAAATCACGCAAAAGGTTACTCGTTGATTCTCCAATCATACCTAATTCCTGTAGTCCTATTCCATCTAGGTCGAATGAAGTAAGTGCCTACTTCAGTGATATGATTCAAATGCACCACTGACTTTTCCAATGTTCTTTTATGTGTAAATCACTTATCTTTATTTACCGGTGTTCTATCCAAATCACTTTTAGTTTAGGAATATTATCATTTTTGTATCTTAACCAATTTTCTTTGGGTTACTCAAACGTGCCACTTTTTGGAGTGCACAAATATTTGTTCCATGATTATTCATGAGTGCCACATTTATAGTTAGTCTTCTTATATTAATTATTTACTGTTAACAATAAAATTAGGAAATTCATTTCTTAAATAGGTTTGTTCAGGTATATTGACAGGAAAGTACGTTGCTACTGAATAGAAAAGCTACCAAATCTTATGAAAGTTTTAAGTGGCTACTTCAAAATGTACGATTTTTACTCAGTGGTAATGTAAATTTATAAACTTGGTTTTAGCCAGATGCATTATGTGAAGCTGTAGTGGTACTGTGATTATGCTACTTACGTCTATTGACATTAGTAGCATGTAACGCCAATCGGAAGTGGAAAACCTTGCAGCAGAAGGCTATGATGGTTGACTTAAAGGAAACAGAAACGGAATTAGAAAGGAATTGCTAATCGGAAGAATCATCCAAAATGTGAAGGACAAATGATGGAAATTTGCAAGTGAAGTATTTCATGTATGTATGTATCATTCCCAAGGTTTGATTTGATAATTTCGAATAAATTGAGCACTGGGTAGATTGTTATAAATAAATAATATATTTGTAATATCGCAATGAGTAGAAAATTAGATTTTCTGACGTTTCGTGACTTAGTGTAAGTCACTTCTTCAGAGAATAAATAACCAAATTAAAATAACTCCAAGTTTAAATACTGCAACAGAACAATACGAATAATATTATTCTCATTGTTCCGTTACAAATACATTATTTATTTATATTTCATGTATGATTCTCATATTCTATCACGATACTCTGTAGCTACTAGAAGTTTATTTTGTCGTATAACATTCTTGAAACCCTTATTAAATGAATTCACTTCACCTTACTAATTGCTCCATTTCCATATTATATGACAGTTCCATAATACTATTTACAATAACTTTTCTTAATGAGTTTATATTACCTGTAATCAAAGGATTCTCATCGAAGTTTACCATACTGTGAATTTTAGGTGAACGGTCCTGTTTCATTGGAAACTAAGAATCGCCAAATCAGTTGATGACATAAATGTAAGTCACAATGATTTTCTTATATTCCTTGATGTTACTTTTGAACAACATTAAATAAAACTGTTGTGGTACGTGGTTTTATTCAGTACAATTACAGTTAATCAAATTTATACGCAATTTTTATATATGATTTACGATAAAGGCTCCATTTTCACAGAACTTACAACTAATAATTACATGATTTTAGAGGTTTCTCAATTTCAGTAAATGCATCTTAAGCAACGTCAGAATAAATCACTTCATCTCAATGGAATTTTCTAGTATTTCAAGTCACCTAAATTTATATCAAACAACTACATAATCTACTTACCTAACGTTTAACAACAAATGAAGTGCATAACTGTAACTTGTCACTTAACCTTGTTAATAATTTATTGACTGCTACGTATTTATGAGTATTTTGACAAATTATGTCTCTAATTCGCCTAATTTATGATGTACTCTTCATATAAGGTTATGGCTGCAGCCTTATTTTGTAAACTTATATGTTTTGTGTCATCATAGTTTTCCATCAATTCAATGATAAATTACGTAGTTTTCTGTACTGTATATGGATCAATTGATATATTTTGGGTTTTTCTTTTCCCTAGACATTCGATTAACAGATATTCCTTCCGATAAAACTTTCGTGCAACTTTTTTGTATTTAGACGCATAAATAACCATGAACCTCCCAATCTTCAAGCAGAGTATTTTTATGTCTACCTCATCAATTAAACTGACACCTACCTCAGTTTATATGGTCTCCATTATTGCATTTATATAGTTCAAATGATAACTTTTCATACCAAAAACCGGTTCGCTGCAGATTTTTTTGAGTTTTTTAAATTTGGTTTTCAAACAATTGATTATTAACACATTCTTTGTATTATGTACTAAATCCAATACTTTTGCTATCTGAACACTGTTCTTTAAGCTATTTTTGGACGAAATCTTATCTTCATCTGTATTCGCGATCTCATCTAATGCTGAATTTTTTTCAAATATTTTTGGACTTTGTCTTATTTCTCAATGCTTTGTGACGATTGATATATATATATATATATATATATATATATATATATATATATATATATATATATATATATATATATATATATATATATTACAGTAGTAATCCTGTGACTGAAAATCTCAGAACTGTTTAGTCTTCTTCTCGTTCTAGTTTTTTGTGGTACGTTTTTTCAGATGAAGAGTTTTAATATATGTGCTCTTACCACCTTTTTCATCTTTATGATGTGAAGATTTGGTCTACATGGTAGAATTTACGTTATTAGATGTCAGTCTGAAAAAGTGCGTATGAGACATACGAAACAGTAATATAAAGTGCAAGAAAACGAATAGTTTGAAGTCACAATAATCCTTATAGAAAGAGTACTATATCATCGATTAGTCACTAAATAAAATGAGTTTATGCTAGGGTGAGACTAAACCGAAATGGGGGGGGGCGAGAATTCGAGTTAGAATAAAAACATGTTTGACCAGAAGTAGGCGAATGAACATGGCTCTTCTTTTTCTAATTTTATTGTTGAATTCACTAGTCAATTGAAGCTAGACTACCACGAAAAACCTGGAAGCACTGAACGGCCGTTTCGTCATGGTATAGGGCTCCTCAACAGTGCACATCCACGAATCCGCCCCGCGAGATTCGAACCCAGGACCTATCAGTCTCGCGCGCGAACGCCTAACCTCTAGACCACTATGCCCGTATGCAACCGTGTTAATGTCTAACTTCAACTAATCCACGAAAGTGAGCCACCGTCCACCATTGTCTTTAGTGAGTTACTACCTCACAAAAGACCCATTTTACTATCGAAAGCTTGTCCTACAGTCCAGAATAACGCACAATAAAGACATCTGGACCCCACTTATGTAGGTTCTTCAAACTGAAACAAAAATCTTTTGTTGCTTTGTTCATATGACAAGGTTTCTAATATCGGAAAGAGCTCCATAGGAAATTACATAAACAGATGAAGGGAAAAATTTTTATAAGGTCTATTCCTTACTTTGTATACCTAAAATATTAGCTATTAAAACTGCTTCCGTATCTCCTATAATCTCGAAAAGTAATCTGGATACCTCTCCACATTTTCGAAGTTTGTTGATCTTGTGGAACGTGAAACTTGGCACAAATATGCATCATTTCATGTTGCCTATGTGCACCATCGGTTTGGAATTAGGGTTTTCCAACTCACCTAGGTGGATACTCCATATCCACCAACCCGGTTAAAGCGCCAGACATTCGCTTTTTGTCCTCAATTTCGTAAATAACACACCCACTGCGAGAAGGTAGTGAGTAGGACTTCCCTGGCAGAGGCTGTATACGCGTGGCCATGTGAGAGCATTTAGGGGCCGCACTTAACCTTATTCTAAGTCATCACTTCACGAACAAATACCACCTGTGGAAGTAGTTAGGTACGTATAGTACATCCTAACCACGTCAGTCAATAATGATTCACGACCTCACCAACCAATGTCATCCCTACCTATTACCTCCTGCCTAACCTCACTTTGTCGTTCCACAACATTCAAGTAATTCAGCCTACATGTCTTGTACTTTCAAAATTCGTAGAAGTATATCTCTACTACACAAGTGATGTAAATTAGGAAAAAGCAAGATCGAATTTTCCTGAATCCATGACAAAATCTCGTCACACCGACTCATCTGGTTTGATTAAACTCCCAAAATCGACTAGTGTACTTCTTATCACTAGTTCGGGAATTTAGATAAACAGCAACTGAAGTAACATTTTACATTTAGAGCGATAAAAATATTGTTGCTCAAGGTGATCAAAATAGTGCAACATAGCGTATTAATCAAACAGGACTATATCACCATCGTATTCTAATTCAACAAGTAAACCTGGAAAATCAGTCCTTGAAACGAGAATGTTGCTTTTCGAGGCGATCTTTAAATACGTTCGGTAAAAATGCAGTTATTAGACGAACTTGAATTAAGGTTGATAGTTTGTCATAAACTCTGACTCAACGCCATTAAGGGTTTGGAAGGCTTGTGTTGACTTTCCTTACAACTCGCTTGGTAAAAGTAAGGAACTGAAGGGTGGCTGTAGAGCATTTAAACTATAACGTCCAGTCTTAAGTATATTTGTGTTTAGCATGAAGATAGCTTGTGTGAGGTACAGCGTGTTTGAGAATCTGAAGAAGGAAAAGTTAGCTTATGACTCAATGCTTCTACATTTAATGATGAAAATAAAAGAAAGCAGTCGGCATTAACAATCGTAAGATTAAGACAATCGAAATAAGAATTTGCCAGCATCAGATTTGAAATATACTAAACTGGTCTTCAGCATGTTACTATCATCACTTTGATCATTTGGCTGAGAGTGGATTATTCGTCGTTTACCAGAAATCATCCGACTAACTCCTGCATTTTCGATGTTTGTTTCTTTGGAGAAATGTCAGGGATTATCCTTTTGGAAATCATGCCGTATACTAAATAGATTATTTTTGGATTATATCTACGTTATGTCCTTTATTAAAACGTTTACTGGATGATAAGGATTACGATGGGAACTATTAATAATCGGGCCTTACAAACATTATATCCTTAGTAATAATAAGATTTTTACATAAGTTCATCTGATGTAACTAGTTATTGCTAAGTAACTCAGTAATAGTGAAACAGGCTTTCAATGAGATGTCAGTACTCATATATATGTTGGGGGCGTTCTGTCCTCTGAGCCGTTTTATTCTGTTGTGAAGTCTCAAATCTTGATTTAAATGGCTGTGGATGAATTAGCTAAAAGTTTCGTCCCGAATGCTCCCGTGTTTACTAACAGTAGGTTACCGGTGTTTCCAGGTATTCTTCATAAACAGAAAAAATTTAGTAATTTATAATGAAGCATTGTCCTAATTCCTTTAAAGAAAGTTAAGTCCCTTCTTTAAGGACTCCAGGTATGGTGCTTGAATCACTTCAGTCGGTAGCGAACCCCAAGACTTTACTACTCCTAACGACTAGGGTTATTTACAGTATAGTTTTGTGCTGCATCTTTAATTTATAGATAATAATAATAATGGTAAATTTCAGTCACTTGTTAATGGTATTGTAATCCTCCTGCACGTTTTTTGGTTGTATTAATATATTTGTTCTCCCAACAATTCTCGCTCACCTCTTGCTTTGTCCAGCAACATTTGATCTTCTCACGACCTAATCATCAGTTAATTAAGCACAAACAAGCATAGACATTGTCGTTAATCGATGCCCATAGGGAAGATAAACCATATCACGGATTTCCTGGGAATTTACAGGTTTCCTGACTTTTTATGCGATATTATTCTATTGGCTGCAGAAAGTGGACATAAACGCGCTGATAAATGGACGAATCGCATCAAAACAAGTAGATGGGTTAGGTTATCGGCTCATAACTAGGCTTTTAAGGTCTTCACCCAGTATGAAATATCTTTTTAGACACATGTTTTGGCTTTTTAATAAAGAAAGCATATGTTAATCAATTGGACAAAGTAATTTATGGCTTGGCACCAAGTAAAACATGAACACGATTGGATATAAGTATATGTCTTGAGTCAAAATATATACAATTTTACAAGCTTTTAAATATCCCTTAACTATTTATCTCAAGCAACTTGAACTAGCCGAAATCGTGCAACCACCCATAATGTGCAGCATGAGTGGAAGTTTCAACTTCTATCGGTCAGTGAAGTTGCTCCATCCTGATAAGGTTTTTACGTCTACTTTCTCCTCTCGTCTTTTCGTAAAGGATGTTTGACTAAAACAATCTCAAATAACGACCTGAATCAATCCAATTCATTCGTAAGTTGAGAATTGTCGATTAAAATATGTTGCTCTACTAATAATTATAAGAGTTTTCGCAACCGACATCCTAAGGTTTAGTTTTCAGAGTGAAATTTCACGAATACCGAATCAGTACTGATATTATGCAAACATTATTGAACCTTGTGTATAATTACACTTCTGAAGAAACCCGAAATGATTTCGTTGCAACACTCATGTACCAGTAAGCTGTTTGTGAGTAATAATATTAATAGTAAAACCAGTATGGAAACTAAAATTTAAGTGTCAAAATAACAAACAGCCAATTTCAAAGTTTGAGTGAAACAAATATAAACAAAAATTAGTATAAGTATTGATATTCACACTAACAGGTTATAATTTGTTAATTCTTCGAGTTTACCCCTAATAAGGTCGGTCAAACTTTCCTACTCCTCTAGTACGGTATGTAGCAGAATAAATGCTTTGTAAATCTCTCTATGGTGATTCATTTTACAGCATAGCAATTTCTTCTATTTTTATCACTACTTTCACTAAGTACTTATGCAACCATTTTTTCCTACTCATGTGCTCTAATTCGTTAAACTCTTATTCTTGAACCGTGGTTGAGATTTGCATTGATTATTTCGTTTTGTTGTTGCACAATACTGAACAGTCGACACCAAGTCCTTGTTTAATTGGATCTGCGGTTACGGAGGTAGTAGTTAGTAGTGTCGGTTATTTTATTAAGCCCATATACCTTATTCTAGCTTTCGGACATCCCAATCTATTCATTCTACTTGAGTCACATTCTGACCTTGTTATTTATTCGCTTATCAATCTTGACTGTTTCTATACACCGCGTAGGTATGTGTACATTTCTTATCCCACTACTCATCACATGTCTGCAACTTTTGTGTAACTATAAATATTGATTAACACTTGGTTAAATGGGAGTTGGCTTACCCGCCATATCCACTGCGCGTCGTTTTGCTTCGTTCTATTCCATTCATTTTATATACAATATATATATATATATTTCAATAACAATCAATCATTACGATCTCCTTGGAGTCAGATCCACGGGCCACTAAAAGTTGTTAATTACTGTCACTTGATTGTCTGCCGTAAACAATTATAAATCTATTTATTCCTTGCAGGTAAACATTTAATTTTATGTTATCAACTATTTTTGTCTGTATGGTACGTTACTCCATACCAGAAAAATGTTAACTCTATAATGAATTTGTATTACTTTTGGGTTATTTTTTTTGTTTTTACATAATTTGTTTTATACAT